TGATCTTTTTATAGTTGTTGTTATTGTGTCAACTGTTGGATTATCAACATGAGCAATTGTTTTAAGTATCAGTGATGATGATGTTGGATATTCTGAAGAATTTTCAATATGTATTTGTTGTTTATCTTGATCAATATTGTGTTCCATTAAAGGTGAACAATCTTGTATTGTTTGATTATTTTGTTGTTCATCTTGTGCTTCTTGTTTTAATGCATTTAAAATACGTTTTTTTAGTACAGCATGTGATGATGTTGAATTTGTAAGTGGTGATGATTGCCTACTATTAATAATTGATGAATTGTTAATATTATTATTATTATTATTATTATTATTATTATTATTATTATTGTTATTATTATTATTATTATTGCACATATCATTAGATGATGGTGAACAATGACTAGTATTTATACTTGAATAAGGGGATGTAACTGGAGTATTTATAAGTGATGAAGTAGGATTAGGTACTAGAAGAAAAAAATATTTATAAATAGAGAAACAAAGAATTTTGTTGATTAAAATGACTATCCTTCATTTGAAAAACCTACCTATACTGTTTTCTAGAGCAACTCGTACTACATCTAATGGTATATAAGAAATTAGATTTTCAGTACGAAGAAATCTATGGTGAGTATTATTAGATATACGTGACTGAAGACGAGACAAAACTCTACTGAAGTACCCTTAAACAAAATTTGGTATAGATTGCTTTGGAGACATACTGAGTTCTAATATTTGATCATGTCACTCACAATTGCTATCATATTCCTTAATTGATATATGCCTTCTCGAAACACTAAAATTTGATGAAAATACAATTTCTTATATATCCATTGATTCGATACGAGTTGCTCTAGGAAACGATATAGGTGACTTTTCAAATGAAAGATGATCATCGTATTCGACATGGTCCTTTTTGCTTTTGTTTTATTTTACTTTTATCACCGGGTGAATGAACAAAACGTGGTGATGGTGAATGATATAATTGTGCTGTATATGGACTTGTTGATGGTGTATAACGATTAGGTTCATCGGAAGTTGAATGATGTTGGTTGACAAATTCTGGACGTGGTAAATACATTTCTTTATTGAATAAATCATTTGTATGGCAAAGAATTTGATGAAAAATATTTGGAGTTATGGTTGAAGTTGAATGTGAAGGAATGGAAAATTGAGAAAAATTTCCTGGATGATGTTGATTGGTTGTTGATCGAAAATATGAATGATGTGAAGGATGATTTGACTGTGAAAGACCATTGATCTAATTTATATTTGAAAAAAAAAGATTAAGATCGTTGAACTAGATGTATAAGATGTTGGTTTTAATAAAGTACGCAAAAAGAAATCAAAATCCGTTATTTTGTTTTTCTAAATGTGAATGAACGAGATCTCACTTTTTATTTTAATTTTAACAAATTCTTGGATGATAATAATAAGAGTTTATTTTCAATTCGATTAAGTCTCGTCTTTGATTTACAATATGTTAAATATTCTTGTTACAATAAAATTTTGCAAAAAATCATAATTGAGATAAGTCTCACTACAGTAGATTGACGCTTTTAAAACTAGAGAAGGTTCAAAAGAATTCCTGAAAATATGGCTTTCATCTTGAGCAGAGATTTGCGGAATCGAGACTACGAGAAAACAGTTGTTCCAACCGGAACTAAAGGCTATAGTTCAATATTCTACGATTTTCAGTGAATTATCTTATAAATCATTCGTATTTTTTTTTAGATGTGACACGAATAAGTTTTGGAGAAGTTTTCTCTAG